GGGGGGGGGGTGGCGGGTTACGGGGGTGGCAGTCTCGAGGGAGACCAGGGCGCGGCCAGCTCGCACCCTGCGCTGGCGGAGGCGGGAAGCGCGGCCCCGCACCCTTTTGCCCCGAGGGCCCAGAGGGGTAGCCGGGGGTCCGCGTGCCCTCCGCACGTCCCCGCCCAGGCCTGTGGCCGCCGCGGCCTTCTCGCTAGGCGCTTACCCCGGTGCCGTTGTCACACACCACCACCTTCCTGCCTTGGCTATCCATCGTTCGCCCGGGGGAGAGCCGCCGACGCCGCCGCACGACCTACAAATGCCGCCGCCCGGCCTTTCTCTCTTCCTCCTCCTCCCTCTATCGCGGCCCCTCCTTCGGCCCAACTTTCTCCCCCCAACCGGAAGTCGCCGAGGGGCTCCGCCCACCCTTTCGCAGACGGCCTGCGGAAGGGTGGGGCGGGCAGAGGCTGCGACTGGCAGCGGTGAGCTCCAATAAGAAGTGGAGGAGCGCCGAGGACCCCTCCCACAGCCCCGGTTACTGCTCTGACGTCACGGTCACCGCCCACCCGGGTTCTTCCTGGCAGCGTCTGGTTCCCGGCGCATCGCCGAGCGTCAAATGGCGGCTGACGTTGCAGAAGCTGCGGCTTTCTCCCTAAGGTGTCTCAGGAGTTTAAGTTAACGAACGGACTGAAGACGTAGTCAGGTGAAGGACGCCGGGTCTGCCACCAGGTGGCAGTGGAATACGGCAGAGGAGCCAGCCCGGAGGGCGGAGAGCAACCTGGAGAGCCTTGCCGACCCGCCACTGAACGCGGCTTGGTGTCCTTGCTTCTAGCCCTTTTCAAATGGACAGAACTGGGCTGGGTACCACACGTTTATTTGAAGTCATGCATTTTTCGATACTCCAATTCCAGCCCACCCCCTTGGTGGGCCAGGTTGCTCCGTGGTCGAGTGAGTGAGTGAGCGAGAGCCTACATGTGCAGCCTCCGTGCTTTCTCTTCCAGTAGCCCTAGGTAGCTTCACGACTCTTCAGTCTATGGACGTATCTGAACCCAGAGTCTTGCCTTTGAAATCAGACAACACAGGTTTCAAACCCCTCAAGGGCTTGGTGGTGATAACCTCTGACTCCAGGGGTGTGGTGACGAGACAATTCTCCATTCTGTGCATAGGGTAAGCATTCATTCAGTGGTAGCTTTTGTTGTTAATTCTGTACTTTTGAATCTATGATTTTCTCTGTGATGCCTTTTTTTTTTTTTAGTCGGAGTCTCACTCGGTCGCCCAGGCTGGAGTGCAGTGGCACTCTCACGGCCACCCCAGCGTCTACCTGCTGGGCTCCAGCGATCCTTCCGCCTCAGCCTTCCCAGTAGCCGGAACTGCAGGTGGTGCTACTACACCTGGCTAATTTTTTATTTATTTATTTATCGTAGAGACGAGGTCTCGCCACGTTCCCCGGGTTGGTCTCAAACCCGCGGGCTCAGGCAATCCACTCGCCTCGGCCTCCCAATGCCCCAT